CTCCTCTGCTGCCTGTTCCTCTGTTGGTTCCGGGAGTGGGGGTTCCCTGGAGATGAGGTTTTGCAATCCAAGGAGCGAAGGTCACTCATGGTCCCTGCCATGGCTCAGCATGCTCTTACTTATCAGGGTAAGAGTGACTTTCATCCGTGCTCAGCGGGACAGGAACCCAGAGCCCTATAAGGAAGCCGCGCGGTGCCGGGGTGTTTGGATGGTACACGCTCCTCTCTGAGCGCCCTGAAAGGATGTTTGTCAAACCAGTTGCCTCCTGGATCTTTTGATACACTGCCTTTGTGCGGTTTGAACGAACGTCTTATCACCTCCATCTCCCTGCTCTTTGCAGAGCACTTACTTGAGTGGTAAACACATGAAGGCTGAAGTTTGAATCTTAAAAATTGCAGGTTCCTCCCCTCGTTGCCCCGATTTCTACAAAGACTTCCTTCCTCCAGCTGCTCCCTCTCTCAGCTCTGAGTTTCTATCTTTGGCTCCCACACGGGGTGTAGAGGAGGCAGTGAAATCTTGCAAGCTAAGGATAGTTGAAGCCAAGATTTCTTCTGTAGTCTAAGAAAAAAAGACACTTTCATGGGAAGAGCAGGTACCACATGTGCGCTTGCTCCACTGCACGGCACAGCCGCCTGCCCGCCTCCTCCAAGGGGGATACATCTCCCAAAGCTCCCCTGCTGCCTGTTTTAAGGACAAAATAAATGGAGGAGAGAGAAAGCTGAGGTGTGTCTCGAGGGAGATGATGATGATGATCTTGCTGGGGTGCTTGTATGAGGATCTTGCCCTGAAAAAAGCTCTGGTTAGAATCCAGTTGCTTTAATTCCCAATTAAGTGGTTTTCCTTCTGTCGCAGCATCAGCACAAGCTCTTTTTTTCTTTAGCCTCATCAGACTTCTGGGCCTTTTCTCCCCAGTGTCCTAAGCCCTACTGCCAAATGCCACCTCCCTGCATCAACCCATGAGTTGGCATTTCTGCAGGGTAGTCCATGTCCCTCCACCCGTCGCCAGCAAAGCTGGGCAGCCTGTTTATGAGCTGATCCCCTGGATGAAGGGGCTTGTTTTTCCTCTCCTGTTTCCTGCCCGGGATGCTCAGCCAGCAGCCTCAGAACAATCGGGGCAGGAAAGGGCGTTATCCCGCTCTTAAGGTACCAGGGGGCTTTCTGTGGTGCCTTGCTTCTGCAGGGAAGGTAGAAGACTTTCAGTCAGGTCCTTTCCTGCCCCTGGGTGTCTTCATTTGATGCTGCTGGGATTGGCTACTGTGGAAAGAGAAATCTCAGCTTATTACATGGCTGGCTGGGTTTTCTCTCCTGTGGGGAGAGGATTAGAGCAGGGCAGGATGGTGGCTGGGGTGGTGCCCCCCCAGAGCATCAGCCTGGAGCTGTCTGGGGTGAGTGGGCAGGGATTTGCCCTGCTGGTGGGATCTTTGGACTTGATCTTTGAGCTCTTTCACTCTGTTCCCATCTAGTGGTGGTGTCTTGGGCTCCACTGCTACAGGAGAAGATCAGAGAAGTCCTTTGGGTGTTGGAGATAGGACTCATGTGAACCTTAATACAAGAGTAGGGCTTCTCCTTGCAGAAAAGCCTGTGTGACCCCTAATTTGTCTCCTCATGTGCCCTGTCCCAACCATGTGGGAACTGCTGATGGCCTCAGCCATCTCCTCAACTTGGCTGCTTTGTGCAGAGGGACCCTCTGCTCCTGGGGCAGTGTCATCCTGGGTGTGAAGGAGTTGAGGTGTTCTCCTTTGCTCTGATTCCAAGCAGGAGAAATCACAGAATCACATGGGGTTGGAAGGGACCTCTGGAGATCCTTGAGTCCGACCCCCCCTACCAGAGCAGGTCCACCCAGAGCAGGTCCCACAGGAACTTGTCCAGGCAGGTTTGGAATGTCTCCAGAGAAGGAGACTCCACCACCTCCCTGGGCAGCCTCTTCCAGGGCTCTACCACCCTCACAGGAAAGAAGTTCCTCCTCGTGTTTAGATGGAACTTCTTATGTTCAATTTTGTGCCCATTTCCTCTTGTCCTGTCCCTGGGCACCACTGAAAAAAGACCAGCCCCATCCTCTTGACACCCACCCTTGAAGTATTTATAGGTGTTGATCAGATCCCCCCTCAGCCTTCTCTTCTCCAGACTGAAAAGACCCCAGTCCCTCAGCCTCTCCTCGTAAGGGAGATGCTCCAGGCATCCATGAAAGGGAAGGGTCCCAGTGCAGTGAAGACAAGTGGGGGAACCACAGCTGAGTCAAAGCCCCTGGAAAGCCCCTGTCACAGAGCTGTGACACCCTGAGGGCTCCCTGTGGCCTCAGGCTTCACAGCCCAGCAGAAAAATAGATTATTTTTTTTGGTGGTGGTGGGTTTTTTTCCATATGTTTTGAAAACTTTGGGATTTTTGCAAACCTTGTGCCTCAAAGCAGGACAAGTGAAAATGTAAAAGCAAAAATCAGCAAGTTTCTGTTTTCCGCAAAGGGATGAATGTTTACCTATTTGATGTTAGTTAACAGGAAAATTGTAATTTATCTGTCCACCTTTTTAACTGTGACAAACAGGGATGAATGGAGACTCCTAACTAAGCAATCTCAGATGGAAACTCTCCAAAGATCTTTCATCCATGCAAGGTGCTGGGACCATTTCACAAATACTTTGAAGACTCTTTTCAAACTGAGCCTTAGTGTTCTATGCCTTTTCTCACTCACTTTAATCATAATTTTTTGGGTATTGTTAGAAAATGGTCACGTGCCGTGTGGGCAATCAGACCTGAGCGGGTAGCTTCAACTTTGCCCTGTGCCCATGATGTTGCTAATTGTTGGTTCGTTTATCAAAAACAGGACAAAAACCTCAAGGCAAATTGGTTTTCCTCGGGAAACAGGATACTTAAAACCAGAGGGCTTAAATGTTGTCACTGCTGTGGCCAAGGTGCTGTAACATCGCTGTCGTGATGGAACGTCACTGAGAGCAAGCCTTGCTCTCCACCTGGAGATGTTTGTGAGCTGGATTGCTGCGGTTGTGGTTCCCTCATTCCCAGTTCCCCTCTCGGTCTCTGTCATTTCCTCTTATCACCTCCGTCAGGGTGGTCTGCGGATGCACCCTACTGACGTCCCATGTGGGAGGGATGGAGAGGAAGGTGTTTCTTGGGATGTGCGATGGTAGATGTTTATCTCGCTTGGTCAGCTGTGTGTAGGGGCTGGAGAGGTGGGAAGCGATGGGGACTCAATCTCGGTGACATCTAGCAAGAAGTCCAGTCCTTTCTGACTGATACTGCAGGTGGCAGGAGGATGGCATGGAGGTAAGGAATGTGCCTGGAGAGCTTGGAGATTTGCCTTCTGCTTGCAGTTGTATCACAAGTTGCAGTGGAACAGCAGAAAAATATCTTGACTTTTTCCAAACGTGGGTTTCTCTGCCTCTTTAATGGTGACTGTATGGTTTGCACGGTGTTTGGAGGCTGCTTTTAAGGTGCAAAGTTACCGGAGAAGGGAAACCAGTCTCTTCTTAGAGAATGTCCAGGGTGTGAAGTCCTGTAGCTTGATTTTGTAGGGCTGGGGTCCAATGCATGAGTAAGGTGTGGTGGGATAAAGCCTTTCTGCTTGCTGTACTTAGCTCTTGCTGAGGCACAGCAGGAACAGGAGTGGCAGTTGGTCTGGTCACACTTTTCTGTACACAATATGTTTCCTGAAGAGAGGTCCATGGGTGTCCATGCCTTGTCCAAGGGCGATACTCAGTCGTTGCTTGAGGATGTTCCTCATAACTCCTGTGGTGTCCTCTCTGTTCCTGCCTCCTAGGAGCAATATCTCTAGAGGCTTCACCTAGGGGCTGAAGAGATGTCGGTGCAGTGTTGCATTGCCTGCAGAGCTACTATCAGGAGATTTGTGACAATCTGATGTTGGAAGGTCTCCTGTTATCCTCCCTGCTGTTTTTTCTCAGTTGGTCCATCCAATCCCTTCTTTCTTCCCTGGGTGGTGGTTCTGCTCCCTCTCGAAAGTGTGCTTGACGCCTGAGGAGAAGGCAGGGAAACCCACATCTTTTGCAAGATGTTGGTCTACTTGGAAATGCGCAGGGCGGCAGCCAGCCTAGGTGACAAGGATGTCCCCAAAGGGTGCTGGGCCATGACCACTTGCGGTGTTTGCCCTGGTTGTGTTGTGAAACGTGACTGTGGGCATTTCACCAGGCACTGACTGTGCCATCCCTTCCACCAGCTCCCAATACCTCACACCTTGGGGGTTTGCAGAGCACCTTGTGGTTTGGCAGCTGCTCCTGGGAGTCCAGCTGAAAGAAGATGATGAAGGGACAGATTATTATTTATTTATTTTTTGCGCGGCTGCTCAGCACCCTCATAAACCATTGATTAAAAACCTTGACCTCAACATTTGTTTTTCTTGGTGTTCTTAAGATGCTTAACAAAGCTCCTTGGAAAGTCCAATTACGTCGTCCAGAGCTGTCCCCTGCCTTGTCATTTTGCTCAGTGTGGGTGGGAAGGAACGGGAAGTTTGGGGAATAAACAGTAGAGGAGGTTGAAATGTTTCTGCTTTGTTGCGGTGGACAAACTTGAGTCCTCTCCCATGAAAGATGCTTCCATAAGCACTGCCTTGGGAAAAGAGGTTTAGCTTCATGTGTGGTCCATAGCGCGCCAGGGAAAAAAAACCACACCAAAACCACCCCAAAGGCTGCGTTTTGTGGTTTGAAAACTATGATAATATCTCTGTCATAATTTGTCCTTAAATTCCTTCACTGTTGGGTGCTGGGACAGGAGAGGCATTGGGAAGGGATGGCTGGGTGGGTGCGTGCGGTGAGGAGCGTGTTCGCCTCCGAGGACCGAGCTGTGCTCTAAAACAAGGTGACGTGTGGGGAGGTGTATTTTTGTGAGCTGGGTGTTGTAAAGGGTGCTTATGAGTCACGCCGTGCTCTTAGTCACCGCTTTCCTCTTGCCACAAGTCATGACTAAGGTGCTGATGTGCAAATTCCCCGCTCATTCAGCCCTCGGCACCGTGGCGGAGAGTTTCTCCCCTGTGGATGGATAGAACTTTTGGGGAAGACCATAATAACAGGCTGTGGCAGCTGGACACAAGAGGCAGGAGCCCATGAACCTCTTTTAGGGTAAAGGAAAGAGCTTGCATTTGGCAGGTCAGTGGTTCCTCGTCATGGGTTTGCTTTCACCCATTTGGAGCCATTTGTGGCTTCTCTCCAGCGTAAGAAGGACGTGGTGGGGCTGGAGCCAGCCTCGGTGCTCCCTTGGTTCTTGGGGAGCCCCAGCAGCTTTCACTGAGCCCTTTTGGGAGAACTGCTGGGAATGAAGTGTGGGTGGATGTGGCCATGCTGAGTGCAGCAAGAAGGGGGGGACCAGGTGGAGCCCCTGCCAAAATCACAGCAGCTTTTGCTCTTGCCAGGGTGGAGGTGGGGAGCTGTGGTGGGTGCAGCCACCACTGAATACTGAGCATCAAACGTGGAATAAATAAGTGGAGAACTGAGTGTTTTGAGGTAGCTTTGGGAATGACATGAGTGTGTGGCATAGGCACAGGAATGTGCTGTCTGGGATGAAAGCAAAGGCCTCCTTGGCAGATGGTTTTTTTTGGAATTGGCAGGTTTTGTTTTTTTCTTCCTGGATTATTTTTGTGTGTTGGCGTTGCCTCTAACCAAGAGATGAAGAGCCTGGGGGATGGACCCATCTCTGTGTCTTGGGAGAGGAGAGATGCCTGCCCTAGGGTCCCTCTGGACACCAGGGCTAGCGCTGCAAGGGAGGAGGCAATCTCTGCCTGGTACCTCTTTGATTGCTCATAATTGGGGCAGAACTGAGAATAAACCTTCTGAGCAAGATCCTTTTATTTTCATGGTGTCCCATACGGACGCGTATGAATTTAGTGGGATAAAATCTTCCTCCCCCCCAGCAAGCGGTTTGGGTTTGCACCCTGGGCCATGGAGGGGAGGTGAGACGCGCGGAGCCACATTGTGAAAAGGCTGCAGCCAGGCACGCTATCTGTGGTTTCACAATGTCCTCGGACGCTGGGGCTGAGGTCCCCTCTGGATTTTCCTGCATTGCCACAAGGGCACGTGGACCTTTTCTTCACATTGGTTGTTGCGACAGCAAGGTGACGGTGCCGGAGGCTTTCCTGGTGGAGGATGGCACTTGGAAGTGTGTGTGTGACCATCGCCAGTGGATGTCAGAGCCACCAAAGATGAGCTGTGTCTAACACAAGGCGTAGGGGCTTGGACTCTGCCCTCACTTTTCTCAGGTTGGAGTGGATGATCTTTTGCAAATCCTTCCAGCCTGGGCTTTTCTGTGATATAGCAGCCTTCCAGTCCCTAAAGGGGCTCCAGGAGAGATGGGGAGGGGAGCCATAGGAAGAGGGGGAACAGCAATTAAACTGAAAAAGGGGAGATTTAGTTGAGATCTCAGGAAGAAACTTTCCTGTGAGGGTGGTGAGAGCCTGGCCCAGGTTGCCCAGAGAAGCTGTGGCTGCCCCATCCCTGGAGAGGTTCAAGGCCAGGCTGGACGGGGCTTGGAGCAACGTGGTGTGGTGGAAGGTGTCCCTGCCCAGGGCAGGGGGTTGGAAAGAGGTGATCTTTAAGGTTCCTTCCAACCCAAACCATTCTATGGCTCCGTGATTCCCATTGACCCCATTGTGAGGTGCTGCAACTGTGATCTCCTGCGGCGTTATCTTCGGTGGAGGCTAACCCAAGATTACCTCCTTGCCACAGACACGTGAGCAAGACTTGATCTGTCCCGCAGACGGAAGCTGTGAGAAGGCAGATATGCCTGCAGCAGGTCAGGGGGAGGGTGCTTTGGCCCCATAGCCTCTTGTGATCAGGTCATGGATATCTGCACCTCCTTTTCTTTGCCGTGGTTGGGAAGTGTTGGGGGAATAGAGAAGATGATGGCTGGCAGAATCCGTGGCATCGTCGGCTTTGGGGTTGGAAAGGGTTGACAGGAGGCAGTGATGGGGTGGTATTTCTCCAGAGCATCTTGTCTGTGCTGCGGTAGAAGTGTTGCAGTGCTCTCTTCCTTGCACTTTTAAGTCCCAATGTATAACTTTCTTTCTTTTCTGTCTTTAGGAGATGAATTAAAATGCAGCACACCACGTGCACGGAGGACAGGATCTACCATGCACTGGAAAGATGTCTACACGGACTTAGCAGAGATGCTGTCTCCAGCAGATGGGCTGGTAGGTGACCTGTTAACCATGAGCATATTGGCCACGAGCCTGACATCTGGCAGCCTCGATGGGGTCAGACTCTTCTGTTCTTCTGTCTCTGCATGATACTCTGGGCACCTGGGCATGGGAGAGCTGCTGGAGACTTGGAGGCTTTTCTCCCTTCCAACATCTAAAGTTAGAGGTGGGATTCAACCTAGTCAGTCTCCTTGAGCCTCTTGTTGGGTGAGCAAGTCAAGTCTTACATAGGTAAAGCTCAGCAGAGAAGCTGTGCCTCTTGCCGGTTGTCCATGCATGAGCTGGAAGGAGGTGTCTTCATTCAGCATGAGGAAAGACCCCTTTGTGTAATCAGCCTTGTCTTGCGTTGCCTACAGCCCTCAGAACCTATGGGTGTAATCTCTGCCACATTGTCAGAAAAGTGTGAAGATATGGTTATCATCTTTATTCAAACCTAGATCTGATACCGTGGTGGCCATAAAGACGTGACTGTGATCAGAGGGCTGCAAAGGGATCTGGGATTGTGGTGGTGGCTGCAAAGCAGCAACGAGTAGTGATTTCTGAATGTCATTTTGACCTATCTTACGCGTACTCAGACTTGTAGGCTGCAATTAAATCACTCCCAAATCCTCTGGCGGATGAAAGAAATGAAATTAATTTGAGGAGCTGTCAAATCCAGTTTTCCTTTTGTCTGTGCAGTTCTTTCAACCTCCTCTGCTTTTTCCATTTCCCTGTAAGTCAAGAAAGAGATGCAGAGGTAATCCTACCTGCTGCTACACGCTGGAGCGATCCCTCCGGAGTGATGCTGGCCCCCCCGTGCTGTGGCATCACCCTGGGTCCTGCTTCACGTGGCGCTGACCAGGGCTCCTGGATCCTTTGGTTCTCCCCACGTTCTGGGAAAGAGTCCCTGGAGCGTGACCTACATTGTTGGTTCCTGGAAGTGCGTCCTGGCGTTTGGCACCGTTGCAGCGCGTGTCCCGAGGAGTCCATCTCGCCAAGCGGCTCGTTGTGCGCCGCGCAGCTCACCTCTTCCTGTAATTAGGATTAATCAATTCCTGTGTCACTCACGAGCTCTCCCCTTCTCTAATCCCAGCCCCTCTGTGCTGGTGTTTGTGTTAGGGTAGCCTTTTAAAAAACGACTTCATAATTTTTCTGGCTCATTAGCCAAGACCAGACTGTACGGGGCAGGGGTCAGCTGGTGGTGGGCTCTGCTGGAAGCAGCCGTGCTGCCCAGCGAGTCCTCATTCCTAATGATTTTCCCCGATCTCCCCGCCTGCTGGCTCCCAGTCCTCTTCATGTGGCTTTTGTGGGGTTTGGCAGAACGACCTGGCCTTCCCTGGGAGAATCTTGGGCCTTGTACACATCAGAAAGTTCCCTTTCATCAAAAGCGTTTGTGCCGCTGCCAAAAAAATCTTCAGCGTGACCAGCGAAACCCGTTTCCGCCGCCATCGGTGGATGGGGTGGAAGTGGCTTTGCTGTGCCCGCCCCCCTCCGGGTACCACTTCTGGGCAACCCCCGGGGCAGCACTTCTTGGCCAAGGCCTGTAGTGCTCTCCCCTGGGGGGTCTCCAGCCCCACTTTGAAGATCTGCTCTTTCACATCCTACCCCCTTGCAGTCGGAGTAGGAAGTATTTCATTACTGCAATAATACATATGGTTCAGGGAAAACAGATCGTAAGGCACAGATGTACCTACAGCCCTTAACCATAGATCCTATTGCCATTCAAAAGTAGAGCAGAAAAGTTCTCACGCTCTTCTGCCTTCCCCATGTTAAAAGCAAGAGCTGAATGATTGCTGTCCTGTGTCAGACCCAGGCTGTTACGTATGGCAGGGTTCTGTTCCTCCTGTAGTCAATGCGTCCCCCATCTTGTTCTTCACTGTGCCATGGCCTTCTCCTTTCTCATTTTTAACTTCTGGTATCACTTCTATTTCCCAGTTTATTTGCTTTCCCCTCGGTTTTATCATTTCCCTACACCAAAATAACATGCACCACGTCGCAGCTTTTGGGGCTGAGACCTTGCTAGAGTTTTGCTCATTTTTAAATTATTTGCTGCTTTATTTTCACATGATAATTTTACAGGAGGTTTCTCCAGAGCGGGTGAGTAATCGCTTCCGATGCGTTGTTTCCCCCTGCCCCCCCCATAAGCGACTGACGAGCTGAGGCCTCTGAAGTCAGCAAAGAGGAGAAGTGTGAGTGCTTTGGCCATCACAGATTTATACCCTGGATGAGCCTGTGGGGTATAAACAGAAAATCTTTCATGAACTGCAGAGTTCATTAGAGGAACCAGATTAAAATTAATTGTCTCTGACTCACAAAAAAACCCCAACCAAACTGTTAGAAAAGTGCTAGAAAAGAATGACCTTTTCCTTGTGGAGACCCTCTTGAGAGCACAGCCTGTTTGCTTTCCTCCATGTTGCTGGGGAGATGATAGTCAAATCACAGTGTGCTAAAGGAAGAAAAATACCTTATTTCTTGCTGGAGGGCGGTGGAACGGGGAGCCTTTGGCGAAGGAGAGCGCTGAGGTTGGGTCTGGGTGCTGGTGGGGCCGGGGATGCCGTCCTAGGGAGTGAGAGGTGCAAGAAAGGTTGGTGGGTGGTAGGGGATGGACAGCTGCTGGAGAAGGCTTTAGGACAGCCCAGTGTCTGAAAGGTCCCAGGAGGACCAGGAAGGAGCTGTTGTGTCTCTGCTCTGCTGCTCCACATGAGCCAGAGGAGGTGAGGGATGCTGGTGAGGGAGGGAGGATGGATGGAGGCCACTGGTGGGCTGGAGAAGGAGAGAGGAATGTTGTAGTGTTCAATGATACATCTTGCATGGTGCCCAGGGAGTTGGATCTGCTCAGCTCTAACGAAGAGAATCTTAAGATCCTGCTCAGTTGCAGTCATTTCAATACCCTCATGGGGAACGAACAGGAGTCTGGTGTGGGGATCCTTCAGCTTAGTCACCGAAATACTTCCAGCTCCAAGTGCAGAATTAAGGTGTGCCAGTAACTAAACCTGTCAAATGTCAACCTTTGAACCAACTTCTCCAGGCTTGTGGTGGGCTTTCTTGCAGACATGACTGCCCAGGTTGGGTGGAAGCACCAGAGGTGGCACCTGGTGCTGCTGTGTCCTGCTCGGGGGTTTTTTTCTACTTGGAAATGAGAGCTGTGGTGTGGGACGCATCCCGAGGGATGCAGGGCTCTTGCTGTCCCCTGTGCTTTGAGCACCTCCAACCCTTTGGTTTCTGAATGGCTGCAAGTTGGCCCTTCCTCTGGGCAGTCCCTTGGAGGAAACCACCTTATTCTGGTGAGGGCACAGTGGAAGTGGTGGGAGTGGGTCTGGGGGAGGGAGGAAATGGAGACATCTCCTTTTCACCCCTCCAGCTGTGTCACTTCTGACGGCACCGGGAGCTGATGCCCAGCCCGGGCACCGTGGGCGAAGGCAGGTTGGGCATGTGGTATTTCTGCTTTATTTCTTTTTTCTTTTTTTTTTGGTGGGTTTTTTTTTTTTTTTTTTTTGTGTTTTGTTTTTTTTTTTTTTTTTTTGTGGTGGGTTTTTCTCTTTTTTTTTTTGTGGTGGGTTTTTCTCTTTTTTTTTTTTTTGGGGGGGTTTTTTTTTTTTTTTTTTTTGTGGTGGGTTTTTTTTTTTTTGTTGGGGGTTTTTTTTTTTTTTGTGGGGGGTTTTTTTTTTTTTGTGGTGGGTTTTTTTTTTTTTTGTGGTTGGACTTGATGCTCTCAGAGGTCCCTTCCAACCACTAAGATTCTGTGATTCTGTGATTTTCCCCCCCGCACT